ACGCCGGCTTCTTGTGCTGCCTTCTAATTGTGCCTCTGATACAACAAAGTGATCAGCAGAGGAGAAAGATAAGAGGCTTAATCATAAGCGTTTTGTGTGAATAATTTGTAGTTTAAAGATAAGGTATTTTAAACAACGGTTCTATAAGCTTATCTTTGAACTTTTGTAAGGTTCGATGGGTGTGGAAATGTTGTGACCAGGGGAATTTTTGTGACTTGCTGAAAATCGATGACGTAGGAAGAAACATGAGATAAAAATTCACTAAAATACACACGCCTAGATTCGCCAATGATATTCTAAATCTAAACAAACGGTTTGTAACATAGATTGCGGATTTCAGCTGATTGATTATCAAAAAATTCTTCATCCTTTTGCAACATTGACATAAAGTTCATAAATTGAAGTATGCTTAAAAATGTAAGTACCTAATCGACAATTTTGTCAGTGTGTCTACGTTATGTCTTTAAATATTCTTCTCTTTCATGCATACACTACGCGGTTAGTCTACAAATGTGCTTCCACAGTGCGTGAACAGAAGAAGCTAATCTTAAGCCATTATGATCGCATGGGATTTTTGATTCCGAAAGTCTCTATATATGGTTGAAAACCCTTTTCAGTCTCTCTCTCACTCTCTCCCTTCATTTTCAAGAATGCGAGAACCTCCTTGAGAAAATGGTGGGCATTTTCTTCGTCTCTGTGGTAAAATTTCTCGCGCGATAGGAATCTCTTCAGGGCAATTTGGATAATTCTCATGGCGTGAGCTTTGGGGTATGGTTTTATCTCGGAAAAATTGCTGGGGACTCTCTCGGTGGGGAAATTCATTTTGATAAAATCGCACCCACATCCCGTGATTTATTTGCTTTAGGCCACTTCCCCGATCCAACCACTTTGGGGGCGAGAGAGATTTTCCTCGAGAGATATAAGCACAAACTTTTTGGGGTCACGTTTAATTTTAAGCAATTACATCCCCACGGAGATAGCGTGTCCCATGAGATGCCACAGTCTTGAGCGGTTTTTGCCATGGAGAAAATCAATTTTCTCAAGCATCGCAGCGCTCAGTGTGGCTGTTGCGGCAAAGTACGGTCAAGGGTCATCAATCAATAATGCCATAAGATTCCTCCTCGACATGGCTTGGCGGAATTTTCTTCTTCTTTTTTTCTCCATAGGTGAGAAACGCCAATGGCGGCGAGGATAAAGAGAAGTTCGTGGTTGAATTGCAGTAAATATTGAGGGTTTTTCTTATGGCACACAATGGAATCTCTTGAGAGAATCTCTGTGATTTGTTTCTTTCCGGCAATGCGGAACAAATTGCAACCTCAAAGGTGCCCAATCGTGACAAGATGAGAAAATCTGAGGGCAGGTGAAAGAGATCCCTTTAAGGATGGCGCCTATGGGAAACTGCCATGAAGGAAGTCTCTTTCACAATAGTCAAATGAATATTCATGCAAATTCCACCGAAATATTCAAATCACTCTCCGGATTCTCCCATGTTTTCCATAATTCATTATTAATTTTATTAATTACCAATGCTGTCTCTCATTCCCAATGGCGCTTTTGGGAGGTTTATCGTGAATTCTAAGCACTCGTCCGCATTGGTGGTAATTAATAGCGAAAATCCAAAGCCGATGGGGTCGCCTGGTGAATCCATAAAGCTTGATTAATGACGTCCATGCTCTTATGGTCAAAGAGACACCGAATAGATGTGAAATCAAGTTTGAAATTCTTCAGAGATTTCGAGCTGAGGTGAGTCAATTCGTCCATCGAATGAAAACATTCGGTCGAAAGTAGTGCTATGGTCTTTTCGGGGGCGAAATTACAAGAAAATCCCTCAAGAGCCATCCGATAGATACCATCCCCCAGTGAGTCAACAGGGAAAATGTTAGCCAAGCATGAAATTGCAATGGGGAAAAAATTCACCCTTGTAAATTGTGTGGAAAAAATTCACATTCTCAAACTCGCTCTCTCTCTGGGCGATCTCTGGAAAACTTTCTGCAGATGTTAATTCCACACCCAAATGATGATTGTAAATTAACTCGGCGGGGGTGTATTTTCGTGCTCCGCCGTTTTCCACCGAGACTCGCAAAATGGATTTATCTGTAGAAAAATCTCACGGAGATTTATGCGGAGAATTCTCTCAAGTATAAAATTTGATGTTAGATGAAATTCCTCTGCATTCACTCCAGATTTTCCAACAATGTTGGCAACTTTTTTCCGGGAAATGCACACAGCTTCCCACACCACACACGGTGAATCGAGTGAATGTATGGCCGGGGTATTTTTCGCAACTATTCCTCGGCAAATGTCCAAGGATTGCAGTTAAACTCATTCTTTTGCGGAATTCTCGTGCGAGCGAAACTCATGCATGGGTGTATTATTAAAATTTTAATTTAACAACTGACTGCAATCAGCAATAAATATAAATAAGAACAACGGAAGCCCACGAGGGGGTTTAGAATAATAAATTCCAATTTTCTTGCACTCAACTTCCAGCACACACCCTCGGTTCGCCCTTTTCCTGGTGTGTGCCGAAAAAAAGCCACTGCCAAAGGTATACACATGTCTGCGAGGCGGAAAAAAGGCGAAAGGAGCCAAGGATGCTCCCTTGCGAGGGGTCGGAATAATTCTGAATTATTTCGATGTTCGAATCTATGGGGATGTTTTTTAATCTAACTTGAGCAAACACATGCCCTTTCTTTATTCTCCCACCATTAGATTTATACGTGCATTATGGATGTTTATGGCATTGTTCTCTCTTCTTTAGCTCCCTGGCTTCGCCTTCCTTCCTCCCCATCTAGTCAGCATCTTCCTTCACACCCGAGACGCACGCCTTGCGTGGAAAATGCAAAATACTCACCCATTCATTTAAATAAAAATGAATGGAATTTGTAATGGAGTTTGAGAAAAGACACAAAATCTCTATATTTCACCCATAAACAACAATAATGCGTGGAGGGGCACACAAAAAACCACCAAAATTGTCATTAGAGTCCACAAAATAGAGTCTAGACGAGATTATTGATCGTTTCTCTCCTGTTTTGTCGACTTTTTTGCAACGGTTATGCTGTGAGCCCCCTTTGCAAAATCCACACTTAATCTCCATCCAGTCAGTGGCTCTCTTGCCTCGCCAGGCTTTTATCTATTTTTCCATATGCTCATGGCGAAATGAAGAATTTCCAGAGAGCTTTCACAGCGTGCAAAAAATGCGTCTCTATGTGGGAGGAAGAAAATGTTTTGGGGTTGTCTTCGGCAACATGAAGCCGTAAATATCATGAAAATGGGCAAAAAACCACGGGGAACTAAAGAGGACAAATTTGACGTGGAGTCGAGTTGCGAGAACTCCAACAAATTCACATAGATTGAAGATTGGTGGAAGTGTGGGAAAAATTGTTCGTGCAGTTTGGCGAATGTTCAACTCTATCATCGGGTTGAGGGAGAAATAGCAAAAACCTCCTTGTAAGTGAAAATGACGCCGTAAATCATACTTTGTCACGTCAATTGGTAAATAGGAAAAATGTCACGGAGGAGCACCGAAAGTCAAGTGATTTGGTGAGGGTGGTGAGAATTCCGTGATACTTTCGAGGGTGTCAATAATTCACTGAGCATCCAAAGTATAAATACACAATGTTTATCGTATTCCCGTGCTCATACTAAATCATTTAATTTATTCCTCCGTGCGGTGGAGCGTCAGGAGCAGAAGATGAACAGCCACGCAAAAGTTTGGCAGTGGAGAGCATCTCGCATTCCGGCAACACCCTCGAAATCGATCCGAGGGCGCATAGCAAATCACGGGAGGGCTTCTCGCCACCCTTCGGAGGATCTCAGGAATCCATAAATTTTCTGCAAACTTCTCTTCGCTCCTGCTTTTGATACCCTCGCACCTCGCAAGCCGTAAACTTTTGTCTAAGGCAAATCTCGCAAGTAATTTCTTATTCAGCAGAATCCCATCAATTCTTCTTCTCTCCGCAGGAACAATTCCCGGCCGAATCCCCACCAGTGGGACAACGCCGGAGAAGAGAGGAAGAGGAATGAGATCGGGGAAAAGAAGGCAGCAACAGATGGAAAATTCTCTGGCGATTTTTACGATTTAATTAAGATAACAAAATACGGAGTTATCTGCTCGAGAGGAGCATATTTCTGCAATTACCATAAACTTGACGGTTTTAACACACTTGCAGAAGGAGGCTCAGAGTGGCTCAGAGAGAGCCAAATGGACCATTTAATGGACTTATTGAAAAGTATAAATATTGCTGGTAATGAACCATTGAAAATCAGTGAGTGCTCGCGCGAGAAAAAGATGTAAAAGAGAGTCATTTCTTCCGTTTTGGCTGTTGGCAAATGAGCAGAAAAAACGGCCAATGAATGAGTAAATTAAACTTTTATATAGGGTATCAATTTCTTCCTTTTTGCACACACTTGAGATATTTTTCTCAAGTTTCTTTCATTCTCTCTCTCTCTCTCAGCACAACAGTCCAAGTGCCAAGTTTCGTTCCCCCAAGATACAAAACACGCCCAAGCAGTGAATGTAAAATTGTCTTTTCAATGTGAACGTAGAGATTGAAATTGTTTAAACAAATATCACGTGTTTTCTCTAAGCGCCTTGATTCAACTATGATATTTGATCACAGAATGCCAAGCAAACAGATGGTTAGTGAAGCACACAATATAGTTAAAATGTTGCTGAAAAAATAAACACACAAACAGTGGACAAAAAGTTTCCATTGTACAACATTCTATAATGCGAAATCATTCGATATACCTCTGCGTTGGTGGTTCTGGGGCGGAGGAGGACAAGGATGGACGTTGAGTGAGAAGAAAAGCTCTCGAAATTGTTATTTTTATTTGTATTTCGTCTCTGTATATTATACAGGTTGTTACATAATTGTTAAGCCTTACCTCATACTTTCTAAATCCTTTTATTACACTATAAGAGTACTTTTAGTTTACTTTTCTCTCACTTTTTAAGAATATCTTTTTTTTTATAATTATATTAATCTGTGGGCTTTTCTCTGCATTTTCTCTTCTGCCTTCCTTTTCACTGTTTTTTTTTATACCACTAAATTATGGGCGAGATATTTCTTTAATCGATAAATTCTGCGTGACATTTTGAGCCACAATTTCTTTTTCCCCACCTCAAATTTATCGATATTTTATACTTGGGATATAAAAATTGTTGGTGTCAAAGTAAAATTATGTCAATTACATTTATAATGTATATCATTCCATTTAATTCATATATCTTTCTCAATATATATTTACTGAAGGTTTCAGCTTTTTTCTCTTCAACCTCTCTCTTTCTCCCTCTCTTCCTCTCTATCTCTCTCTCTCTCTCTCTCTTTAAATACAAATATTAATTCGGATACAGAGAGTTTCACATTTTATTAAGAAATAATTCCACTTAAATCGGTAAATTTGTTTTTCTGCATTCTTTTTAATTGACGAAAAATAAATAACGAATTATAAGAATATAATAATAAAGTCAATTAGAAAAACATTAAAGAAAAATCAAACAAAAGGTCAACATAAAAATCTTTCTGAAAAAAAACACTAAAAGACCTTTCGGAAAGTAAGATAAATAGTCAAAAAAAGGTTACAAAAACGACAATCGATTGGAGAAGAAATTATTAACATAATCTTATCACAGATAAAAATTTTCAAAAAAAGAAAATTTGAAATGACAAACTTTTTCTGGGCTAAATTTGATGCTTTTATGTCTCTCTTGTTTGGATGTCCGCAACAGCGCAGTTGGAAATAAATGACTCAAATGAGTGAAACTGGTGAAAAAAAATATACATATTTACACAATATGCATATTTATTTAGTAAATATTTCTATTTTTTTTAATAATATTTCTTTACGTATATTTAGTGTATTGTAAACATGTTGCTCTTCTAATGAATATTATCATCTTTTATGGATAGTTTAGATGTGTTGAAGTTTTCTTTCTATATCATTTATACTTGTTTACGTTTTTTCCTCTCTTTCCTCCCTTTAATTCCTATTGTGGCAAGAAATAGCTCATTTTTATACACTTAAGTTATTAATTATTATCTTGTTAGGAATAAGCAAAGCGTTTATTTTAATTAAACCTTTAAATATATTCAATTACTATTACAATAATAATTATGAGTAAGATGCAATTGTGTTTCACTCTGACGTTATGGTTCCTTTCATTTCATTCTATATCGAGAATGTTCTCGCTATGGCAATTAAAATACGAGATGAAAATGGATGAAATACAATGAATTAACACGGCAGTTTGGAGATACCTTTGTGGAAATAATTCTCACTTTTTATTAGCAATGAACAAGGAAAAGAACATGGAATTCTCACTCTTTAATTTGTAAGAAAAAGAGGATTTCTCTTCTAATAAGTACGCAACAGATGGAGGAAATTACTGCAAAACTTTTATATTAAATTCGATTCTTAGCAGCTTCCGTCAGATAAATTCGCGCCAATGATACTTTAAGCGGGAGAAAGCAAAAATATACAGTGAGGAGCAAAATCTGTTTCTCAAAAAGTCTATTATTATTATTATGTAATTTTTCTATCGAGCAAAATGTGTTTTCTAACTATTTTCTCTGCTCTATGTTTTTTTAGTTATTCCATCTCTCTTGTTGAATATTAAAATCTACCCTGGACAAAATTACGTATTTAAAATGTTATATCAATCACTACGTGGGATTTCACTGAATCAGCAATATTTGCTTGTCTGACAAAATGATGAAGATTCTCAACTACAGCACAACTCCCAAAAAATCGAGATTGTCAATAAGAATTTCAAAAGAATTCTCTTCTTTACGTATTGTGAGGGAAAATATATTTTAACGGATATGAAAATTTTATCAATTTCATTCATGGTTATTTAGAGGCTCTAGTTAGTTATTATCTCATGTTGCCAAAAAACCGTCTTTAAGCTTTTTTTTTATCTCACCTTATATGATTAAATTGTATCAATATTTCTCTGGATTTTCTTTTAATTTTATGTCACATCATTTTTACAATTTCTTATTTTCACTTTTTTTCTCAATGTCTCTGGACGAATAGAATTTTTTTCTTTGTCAATTATTTTGCCACTCTTCCTAAGTGAATCTCCCGTGATTCTTATATTTCTTTATAGGTTCAAAGAGAAATTCCGTCAAGGCAAAGTCAAGCCTGACGCGTGGATGTGTTGATTTTGTCTTCAGAAGATTTTCTTTTTTAATTACATTTGGCACAATTAACTACACACATTATCTTATGCAATTAAACAGTTAATAATTGTAGTTGTTTTGTCTTCAATTAAAAATCATTCGCACTTGTTACACCTAATTATACCACAGACAGTTAGATAAAATTGCCATTCACACTTCGAGGCATTCATGGGGGGGAATTTTGGGGGTTGGGGCGCTACATTCCATGCACAGAAAGAGTATCTTCTCTTTAAATTACATTCACGCTCACACGTCGTCACCTTTTGATACAACACAGACACGCCGACACACGTTAAAATGCCTAGTATAAATATAAGAGAAGTTTATTCTCCAATGAAATTAAACTCACTGTCTCATCAGGCATGGCGATTTCTTAGTCACTCTTTCATCGGCTCGAGAGGCGCTGCAGAAGGGAATTGCCATAAGAGATTCAATTATAGGAGAGACACCTCCCACAGTTTCACCTTCCGCAATTGAAAATAATTACCTCTCTCGGAGTGCAAAAGTAGCATCACAAATTCTCCTTTTCTTGGCGATGGAGGGGAAAAAAAACTTATAAATTCAATATATACTGTTGTGTGCCTTCGCGACATGAAGACGCAAATTTTTTCTTTTTCGGAGATTTGAAGAAGTCAAAAGGAAGAACACATCAACGAATTGGAGAACAGGTAAAGCAAAGAATTATAAGATCACATATTTTGTCGTGAATTTTTTTTGTATATGGCTAAGAGGGAAGAAAATATCCGAGACTCACAGTTACATTTTATTTGCTTAACACAAGAATTCAATTTCAACAGAAAATCAACACTGACATTGCACAAGAAATTTTAGAGAATGGCATTCTTTCCATCGAGGAATTTTCCCTCTTATCGATTTTCTCTCTTTGAACTATCTGTTGTCTCCTCTATCAGCTACATTAATTGCTACAATTTTTCCTTCAATATGCTTATATGTGGCTGTCGCCCGACCAGCTTCAGTACGTTTTTTTCTCTTCATCTTCTTCAATGCATTACAAGTATTTTGTGTGTTGGTTTCTCACTTAACTTCTAGTACGTATATGTGTTTTCTCTCCTCCTAAATCCTCCCATTGAATTGTCCTGAGAGATTGCGAGTCAAGATGACGCAATCTCTGACTGTTTTCGCATATTTTACGCTCTTCGAGAAGAGTCTAATGCTGTATGTTATTGCAGTTCGCATCCACAGTGACTTTTGCTAATATTCATTTCACCATGTAAACTCTCTACTTACGTATTAGTGTTTTTGTTCTCACTAAACTTGCTTAAATTATAACTGCATGGCATCGCGAGCGCGATCTTAGAAATGAATGGTGGATCTTACCTGGAAACTTGATCAACAGTTCCACTTGAAAACTGAAAACATGATGGCAATTTAGTGATACATGTGATATATCGGAGGGGGAGGCAAATAAATACGCGATGAGAATGGGGAATTGTCGTGGAAAATCATGGCAAACTTATGCATTGACTTTACTGACTGCCTTGAGGAGGTCTTGGTTGCTCTTGTCCAGGCCACCCATCATGCCCAGATTGCCACCCACCCCCACGCCCATGCTCAGGCCCATTTTGAGATCATTCTGAACTGACGGGTGGTGGTGTAAATGGTGTCCGCCGCCACTACCTGAATTTTGTGACGTCACTATTGGGTGCTCTTGGGGTGGTTTGTTGTTGTGCTGGGCGGTTGACAGGGACTCCTTGAGCTTCATCTTGTCCTGCTCCTCGCGGTCTCGTCGGGCCTTTAGCACGGAAAGAGAGAACACGGTTTGCTCATGCCTGTGTGCGAGCGAATGCTTCATCACCCTATACCTGCTCATTAATCTCCTTCACGGCCCTCAGCTCCTTCTTCAGCTTCATCCGACGATTCTGGAACCAGATCTTGATCTGTCGCTCCGTGAGGCAGAGGGCGTGGGCGATCTCTATTCGTCGCCTCCTCGTCAAGTAGTGATTGAAGTGGAATTCCTTCTCCAACTCCAGTGTCTGGAATCTCGTGTAGGTCTGACGTCCTCTTCGCCGTGGACAACCATTTGGGCCTGCAATAAAATTTATGGAAGTCGATTGAGTATCTGCAACCTTCCCTTCAGCTGTTGTCCCTGACTCTCGTCTCCCAACATCGCCAGCCTCGCCAGCCCAAGAATTAGAGAAAGTCCCACTTCCCGTGTGCGCCTCGTGAAAGGGTGAAAGCGAGAAAGGAACGCAAAAAAATCAATGTCTCTCTTTGCAATAAATAAATAAAGGAAAGGACACTCACTTCCAGTGAAGGAATAAAAAGAGCTGACAAACTGCGTGAAGAAATTCAACTTTGCAGTTACGCAAGAAAGGGTAAATCCGAGAGGGCAAAAAATATATTTCACGGCAACTTTCTCTCCCTCTTCTCCAGGCACTAAAAACCCTTTTGGATCGCCAGAGAAAGTTTCCTTCTTGAATATTGGTGGGAAGGGGTTTTTGGAATGTGTGTGTGGGCGGAAATACCGAGAGATTCTCGCCAACAAGAGAATTCAATTAAAAATTAATTAATTGAAAATCTTCCGATAAGACTTAATTCAATTAATTTTTCCCCCATAAATTTTCCACACTGACTTCTTTTCACCCCACAAGAAGACCAATAAACCCACTAAACTTCTCATGCATTTAGTTCTTTCTTAAATTCGATCTCAAGAATGTTTACACAACGTCGAAAGAGGGAGAGTATTATTATTCAACACCGAAAAACTCCCAAATAGTCTCGGATTTCTTCAACATCTCGCGTGGTGTTAATTAGAGGCAAGCAAGCAACTTGCAACAATCAATAAATCAGTAATTGCTCATTTTGAAAGCGCCTCGAGACACGTTTCTCCAACAAACTTCACTCTTTGTGGCTTCAAAGGCGCGCCGTTGTCCACTCGAGTGCCCACAATTTCCCCAAGTACTCGCCAACAGGAAAGGCAATGATGTCGCTACAACACCTGATTAGGCACTTCTTTATGAGTTGTCTTATCAGGAAACATGCTCGGGAGAGGTGAGAAATTTTCCTGTGTTCAACACTTCCCCGATTGCCAGACAATCGGACAGATTTTGAGGTGTGTAATCGTGAAAGAATTCTCCGCGATGCCGAAGGATTAAAATTCTTCACGCGCGAGATAATTCCTCAATGGACATGTCTTGTATTGAATTTTGAACGAGAGAAAAATACTGATTTATTTCCCACACTCAGGGGGAGTGCAAGTACACTTTTCATGTGTGCCAGAGAAACCAATGGATTAATTTCTCATTCAACTACTTTGTCTGTTTAATGAGGAGTTTAATGGCTCTTTACGACTTTAAGCTTTTATTGACTACAAATGGGTGTTTTTATTATGGGAAATGAGGAAGATATCAAAGAGGAGGAGTGACATGGAATTCGGATGACCATTTAGTGGAGTTAGCAATTGTTTATGGCACTTGACCTTCAGCAAATTAATTTTTTATACAAGCATTTTTATTGCCACGCACCGTGGCGATGCTTGAATGTGTAATTTATAGGATCAGCTTTTTTATTTGCACTAGAGGTGTCTCTAGAGACTTCTTTCCGACGTTTTTTCCCCGTTGCAAATTTGCTTATCTCGAGAAACTTCACCCACGCTTCGAAGTCTCACGTGGCGGAATGCCGGGCGAAGCATTTTCGGGAGGTGAATTGACAGAGTGTCGCGGATCGATGGAATCCCATGTCAACTCGTGGCCAACACCATCCGACACGTCTGTAGAGTTCAGCAGCATTGACTTTCAAATATGGCGCTATCAGTTGCTAAGCAACCATTCTGTGCCGTCGGTTCGGGACTCTCCTGGTGAAATTTATGGGCTGCAAGGAGCTCTTCTTCAGCCATCATCAATTCCACGGATGGCCCCTCCTATGGCACAGCGCTTGCAAATTCCCAAGACAAACTGCCGATGGGTCGCCGAGGCAGCCTCATAAATCCCATGGAGGAGCTGTCAAACGGGCCCCGGCGTGGCCCCAAAGGAGCACCACGAAGAGGGGCCGTTAATTGAGGCAAGAGAGACAAGAGATAGACGCATTTTGTGGATGGAAGAGAGGCAAAGGTGAGAGAGTGAGAAAAAATGTTTGCGTTCATCAATGAAAACATTACGCCACACTAAATGGCTTATAGACTAATACAAGAGTCGACAATAAACATAAAAATAAACGTAAATATGCAATAAAAATCATGATAATGTTACACTATAGAGCCTATAAAAATCATAAAAACAATTCAAAAATCAAATATAAACATCATTCAGATGAATTTCGTCTCTCGGTGAAAATTATTATGCCAAATACACGAGGCAGAGAGGATATTCTTTTTAATCCACACACTCGCCACGGGCATTTTATATAAACCTCCAACCATCAAAGCCACTTTTTTTTGCGCCAAACGATCGCACGACGAGTCCGAAATAATATTCATGAATTGAGCGCCGACGAAATTGGACGGCAGACAGAGAAGGAGAGGGAAGACTTTTGGTCTGGCGATGCGTGAATTTTCATTAAGATTATGATTGAAATAAATCGTGAATTAATGTTGTGACGTTTGGACTCGATCGCTTTCATACAAAACTCAATGGTTGTTCTCGAGCGCTCTGAATTTATGAACGTCAGTCACGGAAGGCTCATTGACGGATTTTCAGGGGTTGTTATCCGCTGAAAGGTACTGGCAATGACTTTAGCAATTTACATTTGAATTTTGGAAGCCTCTTGATCAGCTACATAAGTTGAAAGTCATTTTTTTACAAAATAGATTAAAAACTTAATAATTTAGTTTAAATTCTATTTTTAGCTAAATTGCGTAATATTTGTGGTTTGGAATAGAAAAATTCGAACTTAAATCTCAACAGTCATTAGCAAGTTTAAAGATCGTTTAGATCAAAGTCGCACAAGGCAGTGAATTTTCCCCCTGCGAAAGTCTCAAGAGGTGTTTCCAATTAAACACCCCATTCACCCCTCGGCATAATGACTCATTCCCACCCCATTTGCCGATTTTAGCGCTCCACTGCAGCGAAAAATCGACTCTTTCCTTCCATGCAATTTTCACGAGAGATACGCGAGAGTGAATCGGATTCACGGTGTGGAAAAAAGACGAGGGCACGCCCAGTGGTGCGGAGGAATTACAATTTGAAAACATCGAAATTAATCCAATAAATTACGCCACTTTTTGCCATGCACGCTGTGCCGTAATCCGGGCAATTAAGTGGGCCGAGGGGACACCCCGGGCGGGATGAGGAAATTTATCTCGCAGAAGGGTGATAATGATGGCGTCTCCGGGCATGAAGACATTTTTGGCTTGGGAGGGTGGCGCAACTGTGTGGGAGTTATTAATAAAAGAAAACCCACCCCAGCAGCGTTTGAGGGACTCTGTGGCATCCAATATTGAGACGCCTTTGAATTACAATATCACTTACAATAACACATTTGCCCATTCAACCAATATACCATTTTGTATTGCACATGTTATTGCCTTTTGTTTCCTTTTCTTCAATTATTTCTTTATTAGACTCCTCGTAAATTCCGCCCCCGTCCTCTGATGTGAAGTTCGCCCCACTGGAAATTGCGCCCACAGTCCGGGGGTGATTTTGGGGATGAATTCTGCTGGAAAAACAGCCTCGACGTCCATTGAGAATCGTGGTGGGGAATTTAAAGGGACACACCCTCTCTCAGCAGTGATTCAATTTCAAGGGATGTGGAATGGGGTGCAAAGTGTGCAGGAAATTTTCATGTGCATTCCAATGAAATGCTCACGAGTGGATTTTGCAAGTTGCAGAGGTGCTTTTCGCCACCGAAAATCCTCCTGAGACACTGTGTGCAGTTCATATTTGGCATGCAAATATCATTTTGCGGGTGGGTGGAAAATGAAAATTTCCCCACCACTTTTGCATCACAATTAACTTGGGTAAAATTCTCACGGGAGAAGCACACCTTGTCGAGAATTGAGGACACTCTCTATTCACCAGAAGATATCACCTCATTTTCTTGCCCGGGAAATGTGAGAACATTGTTACTGGCAGCCAGCAATTTCAACAAACATCATTACAAGTTGCCAGAAAAGCATCTCAGTAGCTGAAGAAGGAGTGAAACCAGAGTGGAAATTGCCAAGCAAATGGGTTAAATTGTAAATAATCATTCAATGAAGGTGGAGGAAGAGTTATTGGGACGGAATATTGGAAGCTATATTGAGTGGGAAACAATAGTCGAATTACCATTTAAATATCACGTTTCTATTGCCTCAACAAATTGATGGAAAATTATTTGTTTTCTGCATAATTTAGCGCTTCAGCGACTTCCAAAGTTGTCTTCGTTGAGGGTCGGATATTTGCCGAAAAAAGTCCGAGGGTGTGGAGATTCGATCTAAGAGGGTCGATAAGATGCCCGAATTGGGAATCTAACACTAATAGCGGAGGCTTAAGCGTGTGTCAACATGCTAAATCCACTGATTAATGATTGTAATTTTGCCACCCCCAGCAATGACACTCAGCCACCCCTTTTGCACACCCTCCGGGACTCAGATAACACTTTCCGGGGTTCAATGGAACTTGAGTGATGCTTTAAAAGGAGTTTTAAAGCTGAAAAGTTATTGTGCTGACTCTCGCGAACTTTGTTTTTCAATTAAAATTTTATTATACAGCCAATAAATTAGGGATAATATTTTTATTAATTCGCAATTTTATAGTTGCAGAAATAAGTCATTTCGCGCCCACGAATTCCCTCCAACACAGCCAATAAATATTGAACTATATAAAAGCACTCATCATAAAAGAGATATTGAACACTTATAGTTTGATAATAAATTATAAATATCTCGCTGTAAGCCATTTCATTTGCCTTTTACGAGTGCACAAGTGGAGGAAGGTATATATGATGGTATATTTTAAGAGAATTAAGAAATATGACAATATTTCCTACTTCTTCATATTGCCAGATTTTGCGAAAAATTAAAGCATTTGACCACGTCATTGGGGGGCATCCAGCCAAGAAGATATGGATGAAGAGGGAGGAGGGAGGGCACCCCCTGGTGAATTTGGGAAG